CACCTACGCTACATGCAGCGGTGGAGTCCAGGTGGGTTGAAGCCCTACATGTGAAAAGCAAATGAGGAGTGTGTCTTTGTGAGGTAGAAAGAAGTGAGTTAGATTTAAATTTATTGCGGCCCTTTGGTTTCTGAGACGATAGCTCTTCAAAGGAGCAGACGGCCTCATTTTACTCCCTCGGAGGCTTGGTGAGTTTGAACCAACAACCTGTGGCTAGTAAGTCAACACTTTACCCAGTAGTGCCATTAGCAAAGAGCAGATTAGCAAGCGGATTGAACAGATAGAACGGTGAAAAGAAACAGCCCTGTCTCCCCCTTTCCTGAGTCTAACCATGCAGCACCCCCTTGTGCTGTTCAAAGGACGGTCTTGGTCCCAGTGATGCCTTCTGGAATATCTGGATTATCCACTCTTTGCAATGTGATATATATATATGACATATATATACATATATACACATATATATATGTATTTATGAGCCACAGATTTGAGTACTTTGCATAGGCAATAAGGCACAAGTACATCTATCTGGTATTCTCTGCTTTGGCCAAGAGCCATCTGCCACGAGCCACGATCCCCTTCATTCCGCATTCTCTTACATCTAGGATGGATTGCTGGCAGTTTCTTTCTAACGTACCACTGCAACCATTTTCACAGTATTTCCAGCAAATTGTACTTCTTGTTAGGCGCCTTTGAGTCGGTTTCGATGCATGTTGAGCAGCACAATTGTCATCCTCGCGATTGTTCCTGTGTTGGAGCCCATTGTCGCAGCCCTGTGTCCGTCCGTCCGTCCGTCCGTCTGATCCAGGGCCTTCCCCATCTCCACTGCCCCTCCGCTTTACCAAGCAGGATGTCCTAGTGTGTTCTTGAAAAATGGTATTTGCGGGAAGACCGTCGAACAAACTGCAGTGTGCAAAGGACACAACCCTAGCCTGCACTACGGACGTGAAGCACGTACCGATGAAACTCAAAGACTGCTCTTCAGGATCGATTCCACCTCGGCATAGAGAGAAGAACAAAAAACTAGACCAACTAGACCCATAAACATCGTGATAAACGAAAGACAATGTTGAAGGGGTTCATTTTTCTGAGGCCCACAATCAATGAAGTCAAGCCAGTGATTTGCACCGGGTAAGGCTCTTGTGGGAACACATTCCCGTCATTGAGTTGATGCGGATTCACCTCAACCCTACAGAACAGGGTAGAACGGCCCCTGGGCGGTTCTGAGACGGTAACTCTTTACAGGAGTAGAAAGCTCTGTCTTCCACCCGAGGAGTGGCTGGTGATTTCAAACCGAGGCCCCGTGCCCTATGGGTGAGCTCCCTTAAAAATGGATCCACCCACGCCAGCTGAGCCTCCGGATGACCCCAGCCCCAGCCAGTAGGAGAGAGCATGACCCAAAAGCACCTACTGGGGGAGGAAAAGACAAGTGACAGGACTGTAAAGCAGGTTCCTGTGGCTATGCGATGAGCCAACGGAGCAACCGTCATTCAATGCCCTGCCCCCGCGGCCCCAATTAAACACAGATTTTCACGAAGGAAAAGATAGCGCTCCCTCTGGGCATCTGACCACCTGAGGTGACTCCCCTGCTGACCCACCGTGGGGCTAGAGGAAGGTCCTCCCCCTGTTGGGGCCCAGTTTTCTCATCTGTGTAATCGGATTAATCCTCATTCCTGCCCTGCCCACTTCTGGGGATCCGATGAGATGGGTCAATGAGCAAGAACGTGTTTTTGAAAGGCTAAAGCAAGCTTTTCCCATGTCACGATGGGACTTTCAAGTGGTAGAGAGAGAAAAAGGTCTCTCTCTCTCTCTCTCACACACACACACACACACACACAGGAAGGACAGAGCAAAGATGGAAAAATGTGCATCCTGGTTGACTGTAACTGGAGTGTACACATGAGAAGAGGGTGCTCCTCATACCTGTCTGTCAGCTTCCCTACAGGTATGAACCAAACCCTGACTCATAATGATCCTATAAGACAAAGTAGAACTGTCCCATAGGGTTCCAGGGCTGTCATCTTTACAGAACCAGTCTACGGCCCCTTTCTTCCATGGAGTGGGTGGTGGTTTTGAACTGGCAACCTTATGGTTAGCACCTAGTACTTAACCACTGTGCCACAAGGGCTCCTTACAGCATGAACACTTCTCTCTCTGTGCGTGCGCGCACGTGTGTGTGTGTGAAGTAGGTGACGGTTTATAGAGCACATCATAGTCTGACGTTCAACAATTCACACACTCTCATCCAACCTATCCCTTGCAATCCCCTCATCACATATCCCACTTCCTCTTTGTGCGCCTGTGCCCATTCCTCTTCTGAACTCTGTCCTCAGGCAAATGCTGTCCTCAATCAACATCTTGTGCTGGTTGATGATTCTCACGTGGCAGTGAGTTCCCTTTGGGACAGACCTGAAGGATACGGATCAGAGTCTTGGGGTTCCTACTAGACAGGCCAAGGCCAGGCCTGAGAAGAGCTTCCATTTCCGGACAGGGAAACTAGCCCTCAAAGGAGGCGAAAGAAATAGACCGAGAGGTGAGAAGAGAGGCAGGCGTGTTGGGGAGCAAAGGGAGAAGGGGTGCCATCCAGAAGAGGAGGGTGCCGAAGCAGAGAGCGCTTTCACGTTCGGAAAGGGTGGCCCAGAGCTGCTGAGCCTTGGTGACCTCAAGGCTAGGGTGAGGAGGTGATGGTGAAAAAGGGGGTCCGCCTGGCGTAGACACTCGTCTCTGGTACCCTGACCAAAAAGCTCCAGAGCAGGAGGAGAGAGGAGGATGCCTTCTCTTTTCTCCCCAGGTCTTGCCCTTTGGCTTATCGCTGCATTGTTGGGTCAAGGATGCTGGCGAGACCAGAGAGGATTGTCTCAGTAGAGAGGGGCTGTTGACCGTGCTGGTCCTAATGGGTCATGTGGCTCTTGAGACCAGGCTGGGGGTGCTCAGGGTTCATTCCTACAATGGACAGCAGCTCCTCCTCGGGGATAGGAAATTACATGAGTCTTCTTCTCTACGGTGACCCAGGGCTTGGATGGGACAGGGCTTTCAGGCAATGCCAACCCCCCTGAAGACGGTCAACCTCCCACTCACCCCAGGGCAGACAGCGGACAGCGCATGACTGGCTAGTTATGCGGATCAGGAAGGGCTCAGAGTACCATGAGAACACTAAGAAAGAAGAGATTTCTTCTGTTTGGGGGTCTGGCAAACAGGCTGGGAATATTGTCTGGGGGGTGGGGAGGGCTTTATCCAGAGGTGATATCTCAACTGGGTTTGAAGTAACCTTAGGAATGTGCTCCTTCTAGGCAGGAGAATAGCACATGCAAATGTCCCAGGTCATGAGAAAGCAGGCCTGGCCTTGGCCTGCTTTAAGAAGGATGTGGGGTAGGCCAGGTAAGAGGACCTGGGATTTTCATTGTCTGGTGACCAGTGGTTCATTCTCGTCCCACCTCACCCTGCGCGCGGCTTCTGAGTGCACAATGAACTCGCTTGGCAGCCGCTAGTTTCAAAACCGATTAGGAAAGAGGTAGGATCCTTCCACCTTCATATTTCAAGTCCAGCTAACTTGGAGGAATTTCCCCAGCCCACAAAGTACAGGCTCAGTCACACCCCACGTCCAGGTAACATGTTCACTTGGGGCGTATTACAATAGCCTTTGTCATTTTCAATCCCCCCCAACCCCCAAGAATGATGTGTTCTAGTTCCACACCCTTGCCCGGCAGCATTCACCCAGTTGACCAACTTAAACGAGTCCGAGGACAGGGGCCGGACCGGACGACTGTAACCCGGAATTGAACAAGGGCAAAGAAGAGGGGCTGAGCAGGGGACTTGACTGCCCAGCATGTGTGCACCGACCCATCATGAGCGATGACCCCCTACCCAAAAGCCTTAACACCAGACTCCATTTGTGAACCCCTGTTGTGTGCACACCCAATTACCATCCCCCTACCCATGGAAACCAAATTCCCAGAATTCTCCACCTCTGTCCAGGAAGAAACATAATATCCTTCCTGCCCACACTCCTTTAAACACCTCTCCCTTTCCCTTGTTCAGGGAACCGGGGTCTGCTTTGCCTTAGGGCCCCCAGCATGCCTCCCTGGGCAAGGCGCCTCTCTCTCTAATCCACCCTTTTGCTTGCTTGCTGGGCAACCTTGGCTCCCGGCCTCACTATTCATAATTGGGTCAAGGAAAGAATCCTGTTGGTGAGACACTCCTGCAACTGTTTCTGTAAGGCAGGGTGGGCCACCAAGACCCCCAGGGATCAGGCTAAGGGACGGTGGGCTGGAGGTTTAGAAGGACAGTTTGGGCCAGGTGTGGAGGCTGGGCTGAAGGGTTCTGCTCCCATGCAGGAGAGTGGGGGTCAGTGTACACTCTGCTCCCCCATGCTGGGCCCCTTCTGGAATCCTCTCTAGAGAAGAGTGGCCAGGGATGGGGGAAAGAGAGAGAGGGCAGGCCCGATGGTCACTTGGACAGGGGGAGGAGTGAGGGAACCCTCTCCCCAAGCCTGGACAGCAGGGGGTGCAGCCAAGCAGTGGCCCCCCACTGGCCGCCTGGGTGATCCTGGAGCAGCCGCCTTCCGGTAGAGACCTCTATTAGTAAAGGAAGCTAGCCCCTCCCCAGGGTGCCGCGAGAAGCCAGGTTACCAGGAGGGCGAGTGTTTGCAGGAGAAGATGTCCTGCGATAGGTGTGGCAGGGTTCTCCCTGCGGCTGCCCAGACCCCTGTAGGTCTGCCTCCTCCTTCTCGGCCCCTCCCTGCCCCTGGCACTCCTGGGAGGTGGGGGTGTCCAGGCTTGTCCTGGCGACAGCGGATGATTGTTTTCTTCAGACCCCTCCCTGGTGATGCCAAATCCACAAGGCCTGAGATTCTGCCCCCAAACCTGTCTGACCAGTTGTTTGCAAGGAGGGGGTACTGGGGAGGGGCAGCAGGAGGGGCCCGAAGCAGCCTCCCCCAGCCCAGCACAGCTATAGACCGGTCCTGGGACCTTGCACAGACAGAAAGTGGGATGTTTGGCCTGGCCATGGGGCTCGGTAGGGGACCGCTTCAGCTGTTGATACCGCTGCTGCTGCTGCTGACCATTCTCCGGTGGGGGACAGGCCTAGGTGAGTGAGGGTGGGAGTCCTGCTGTGTCTGACCCACCCACCTCCCATGTCTGGGAACTGGGGGCATCCTTCTGCCAAAAGTGGCCACTTGAGAGACACCTGACCCCTCCAGAAAGGAGAACTGGGACTACTGTCCTCCACCACCACCCCCGTCCCGCGTGGACTCCTGTCACTGCCCGGAGTCCTTACCCCACTCACTCACTTCTCCCCAAAGGTGCTCCTCGCCCTCCGCCTCAGGAGGAGAGGCTTCGCTGAGCCTGGCTGGGACAGAGGAAGGGACTTTGGACTTTCAGTAGATGTGGGGGGATGGATGGGGGTCTCCTAGCCCACACCTACCCCTTACCCCAAGGCAACTCTCTGAGGGGGTGCTAGAGGGATTACCCCCTCCTCTGCTCTTAAACCAAAGCTGTTTGGAGAGCCAGGGCCCCACCCCAACTGCTACCCCAATCACTTTTCTTCCAGAAGCAAATCTGGTCCCTGACCATGCTCACGGCATGCTGTGTGCACTGGTGGGCCTCCGAACCCAGAGGAACTAAGTAGGAATGAATCGGATTGAGCTGAACTGAAAAAAAGATAGACGGTTCTGGAGACCCACCTAAAAAGCTCGCCTCATCTTGTACTCCTCCCCAGTTTGGGGGGCTGGGAAGAGGAGGGGCATGGTGGTCTTGTGCCTGACCTTGGGGGTGTGAGGGCAATCGTTAAAACAAAACAAAACAAAAAACCTCCCAACTCACAGCCATGGAGTCGGCGCCGACTCAGGGCGACCCTGCAGGACAGGGGAGACCCGCCCCTGTGGGTGCCTGAGACTGTGCCTCCGGCCCAGAATAGACAGTCTCATCTTTGTCCTGTGGAGCAGCTGGTAGGTGAGCTGCTTAATCCACTGTACCACCAGGCTCTTTATCCTCGTAACCTTGGATGTGAAGCGTAGGCACTGAACTTTTCATTAACACGTCAAAAACAAAGCCCCCTGCTATCAAGTCGATGTCCACTGGGGCGGACCCTGCAGGACCCTGTAGGACCTCCCTGGTGGGTCCCAGAGACTCCTGCCGGGACTGGAAAGTCCCATCTTTCTCCTGTAGTGGTGGTGGCTGGTGGCTTCAAACTGCTGGCCTCGAAGTTAGGGGCTTTGAACTCTCTGAGGGGCAAGATTGTCCTCTGTGAGTCCCAGCAGGCATCTGGGAGGAGGCTGCCCTCTCCCCATCCCTGCCCCCCAGGAGGGACGGGGAGGGCTGAGTGGGGAACTGGCCTGAACGGGAAGTGCCTGGGGGCCAGTGTGGGAACTGGGTGGGAAGGGAGAGTTGTTCAATACGCTGAACCTGGTGATGCTCTCGGTTAAGATTTGCACTGCTACCCCAAGGTCAGCGGTTCAGGCTCACCAGTTACTCCGCAGTAGATGTACCTCCTGAGAGACCATAGACAGGGTCATGATAGGTCGAAATCAACTCCGTGGGAGTGGGATGGGTTGGATCCTCCTGAGCCAGCCTCAGAGGTGAGTCACAGTCTCAATGGGGACCTGCCTGGACTACCCCTCACGCGGCCCCCCCCTCACCCCCTCACCCCTCCCCGCCTGAGCCATTCGTGTCTGGCTAACGCATGTGGGGGGCGTTGGATGGAAAGCCTTGATGGAGAAAGGCTGAGCCCCAAACCACTGGGCACCCCAGGACTGGGCCTGCAGCTGGGGGGGCCTCCTGTGCCTTCCCTAGCCACCCTCACCTGGGGACCCCAAGAGTGACAGGGAATGAAAGTGGGGTTCACCGAACCTTTCCCGATCTCTCACAGTACCCACCCCGGTAGGATCCCAAGCGAGGGGGCAAGGAGCTGGAACTCTAGCCACCTCCCTCTGCCCAGGGGCACAGACTGGCCAGGGAGGGTTCCCATCTGCCTGGCTCCCCCAGGAAAGAGTCCCAGCTCCTCCCTCAGAGCGTGCATGGCTCCCCGCTCAGACTTTGACTCCCAGGGCAGTGGGGGTGCCTCCTGCCTCAGCCTGGTCCCGGGGAGGCCTGCCTTGATCAGCCTCTTAGCCACCAGCCCTTTCGCCCCGACCCCAGAGCGCATCAGCTACGTGCCTCGGCTCGCAGACTCCAGCAAGCTGGAGGGCAAGGTCACCCAGTCCACCTTCACACTGGAGCAGCCTCGGGGTCAGTTCGGCCACCGAGACATCTCCGACTCTGATGCCATCTGGCTGGTGGTAGCCCGAAGTGATGGTGAGTTGGCTGGCCGGCCCTCGACTTCCCTTCTATGAAATGGGCAGGTGGGCCAGGAACCAGCGGCAGAGGCGTGCGAGGGTGGCCATCCTGCCCCTTGGGGCCCCACCAACTGACCCACAGCACCATCCCCAGCCATCCGCAACTTCACCGCTCCACAGTCGATGGAAGGCTTGCCTGCCCCAGCTGACCTCCCAGGGAAGGGTTATTACCTCACGCTGCGGGCCCACCGCGCCCTCTACTCCAACAGCCAGGCCCACAACCAGCTCCAGGTCCTCCGGGTGGGCAATGACACCCACTGCGCCCCCAACAAAACGGGCTGCAACCACCCCCTGCCGGGCCCGGGCCCCTACCGGTGAGTGACCCTGCCCGGCCCCTCCAGGGGATGGGTGCATCCCACGATCCCCAAGCTTGAGCTTAGAACACTCTTGGGCCCCGATTCCTGGTCTAGTTCTGCAACCCGTGAGAGGACCAGGGTCTTGGGAATTCTGCTCTCTTGAGCAGAGGGCCCCTCGCCTTGAGCCCCGGACCCCATGGTGGGGCCGAACCTAACAAGGGGGTCTCCCCATCCAGACTGGGCGTCCCCTTGTCTCCCGACCCTAAGTGCTGATTCACTGATGTTAGCCGAGAGACCAAATCCAGCACACACACCCCCAACACACCCCAAATGAGGACACTGACCCCTGGAGGGTGAGCAGGGAAAAGGCTGGGGTTCGCACCACTCTTTGTAAAGAGTTGCAGTCTGGGAAACCTACAGGGGCAGTCCTACCTTGTCTATACGGTCGATGTAAGTCAGATTCGACTCTATGGCAGTGAGTTTGGGGGGGTGGGTTGGGGCTAGCACTTGGTGGTGAAGGGGGTTATGGGTTGGGCTGCTAACCACAAGGCCAGCGGTTCGATACCAGCAACAGTTCTGCAGGGGGAAAAAGTCTTTCTACTTGGGCAGTTCTACCCGGTCACACGATAGGGCTGCTGGGAGTTGGAAACGACTAGCTGGCCCGGCTAGGGTTTGGGTTTTGGCTGGGCTCTCTCTGAGCTCCTGCTCCACGCTCCACCCTCTGGTGCTCTCCCCAGACCCTGGGAGACAAGGGTACCCAGTGTTAGGACCCAGGCCCCCCCATTCCATGCTGGGTCTCCCCATTAGGGTGAAGTTCCTGGTGATGAACCAGAGGGGGCCAGTGGCAGAAACAGAGTGGTCTGATGAGACACGGCTGCAGAGAGGTACCGCGAGAGGAGGCTCTGGTACTGGGGGCTAGAGGCCTGCCTGCGGCTTGGGAAGGGCTCCCAAGAATGGGGTGGTGGGTCCCCCATCCAGGCCCCCTAAATCTTCCTGCTGTCTCAGGCCCCTCCCTCCCAGCCCGGGGGTGGGGTGGGAGCGGCCTCTTCTCAGGTCAAGCAAAATCTCCTTTCCTGCCTTCTCTCCCCCTCCCCCTCCGGGTGCGGTGTGGTCCCCTCAGTGGAGGTCCTGCAGGGGACTTCGGGGGTGCAGAGTGCGGGCACTGTGGTCATCATCGCTTTCCTGTCGCTGCTCCTGGCGGTGTTCCTTGCCACCCTCCTGGTCCTGCTCGTCTACACCTGGTGAGTGGGCAGGTGGCCCTCACCCCTCTCTCCAGGCCCGGGACCCCGCTGGCCCTCACCCCTCTCTCCAGGCCCAGGCCCCCTCGCCTCCCCTCCCCCTAGCTGCCCTGGCTGGAGGCGGATTCCTGGAGCCCAAACCCAGCCCCATAGCTACTTATGATCAGACAGGAACCCTGCTGGGATGGCGGTGGGTTACCTCTTGGGCTGTTAACTGCTAGGTCAGCAGTTCGAAACCACCAGCCTTTCCTCCAGAGAAAAGATGGGGCTGTCTACTCCTGCAAGGAGTGGCAGTCCTTGAAATCCCCAGACCAGGGGCAGTTCGACTCTGCCCTATGGGGTCGCCATGTGTCAAAATCGACATGTTGGCAATGAAGAGAGTTTAAGCAGGAGCAGCAGTGTATGAAACAGAACGTTCCAGAATCTCTGGGCTCTGAGCTGGAATCTGTGTCCTCGCTGCTGATAAGCCGGCTGGGCCGGGTTGGGTGGGGGCACGTGGGCATTAACCCCTCACCTCCACGTCCCTGCGCGGCCTGAGCCTTGCTTTTGGAGCGGGCGCCCCTCTCCCCCTGGTGGCAATGGGCGATATTGCAATCGGCGGGCGGGAGATGCGGGAAATGCGCTTTCAAGGTCAAACACTGACCTTGCATCAGAGAGAGCTGCTTGCACTACGGCCTGGCCGAGGGGTGGGGGTGTCCTTGAGAGTTCGGAGAGGAACGGGGAACCTGGCCACTGAAGTATGGATGGAGGAGGGGCAAGGGGGATAAGATTAGGTGGCCAGGCAGTGGGACCAGGAATCTTTGACGTCCAGCTAAGAAACAGGACAGAGGAAAGTGGTGGTGGGTTTTGCTCTGGGGAGCTAGGCAGGGACCCTCTAAGCATATGGGGTGGAGGTGGGGGGAGAAGGGGAGAGCATCGGGGCCAGGAGATGACAAGGTGGGGGCGGGTTAGAGACGAGGAATAAAGGCCTGGCTGTCTACTTTAAGAAAATAGCTAATGGATCCACTTCTGGTCGGGACCAGGCAGCAGTTAGTCCCTCTGGGCCTGAGGTCGCGGGCTACGGGACTAGCAGCAGGGGAGGAGCCCACCTCTGCTGGCCGCGTTGGCCCGTGGTGCCTGTTTCCCCTGGGCAGTGGCTGTGGGCCCGCCACCTGTGGAGTCGATCCCTCCTCTCTCTCACTTCCCAGCTTCGACACCTGTGGAAGTACGCGCATTGCAGGCCCCACGGTGACGGAGTATGTGAGCCGATACAGCGCGCACCAGACCGCCAGCCCTGCGCCCTGGGCCCCCGCGCCTGCCCTGCAGCCTCGGTTGTAGTCCAGGCAGCAGGGTCCGCGGAGGGAGGGCCCCCTGCCATGTCTCAGGCCTGGGAGAGATGCTCTCTATCTAAGGGTGGGAGGAGGGTGTCTTCAGCCCAAAGGCTAGGCTGGCCTGGTGAAAAATAAATGCCCCCAATCCACCCGCCTGTCCGTGGTGGGTTTGTTTGCCAGCCTCCCTCCCCACACCCTCTCTCAGCTGGGCGGGGCAGGGGGAGGATACAGGGCCAGGGTGAGGGTGGAGCCCCGCGGTCACCTGAGCCTCCATGGACCCATCTGTAAAATGCGGAGGAGGGGGCGGGCCCCTTTGAGTCGTAGCCGGAAGCCAGGTACGCTGCGCATTCGTGAGAGGTGCCTCCCCTGTCCTGACCACGTCCTCTTATCCAAGAGGTCGGGTGCTGGAGGACCTTGAGCTTTTCGTTGACCCGTCCGCAGACCCCTCCCTGGAGGCGGCTGCTTAAGTTGCCCACCGCATTTGTCACCAGGAGTCCGGGGGGCATCATGGTTACACCAGGGGCGGCTAGCCTCCAAGTCAGCAGTGTGAAGAAGGAAAAAGAGGCGTTCCACTCCCGTAACGAGTTACGGTCTCCGAAACCCACAGGACAGTGTCGTTTGTCCCACTTCCGGGTGGAGCCGGCCCAGGCTGGGCAGGGGGACAAGGGAGCCTGTGTGAAGCTTGGACTCTGCCCAGGGCTGGGGGGCTCCAGCCCCCCAGTCATTCAGGACACCCAGCACTCTTCATCATGGCCTTCCTGCCCAAGCCCCTTCCCCTGGAGGGGCTTCAATGGCCGGGGCCATGCTCACCCCCTGGGTGAGGGCTTCAGAGGGGGTTCCTGGGAGGTGGTGGGCACGACAAGGGAGCATTGGGTGGCGGGAGGGGGGCGGGGGAAGGACTGCCCAGAGCCATTAGGGCCTGTCATCGGAGGGGCCTCACTCTGGGGCGGCGGTGGGAAAAGGGGGTGCTGGCCCAGAAGTCCTGGTGTGCGGTCTCAGAAACCCACAGGGGCAGGTCTACCCGGTCCTGTCCGGTCGTTGTGAGTCAGAAAGGCCTCTAGAGCCCCGAGTTTGTTTTTTGGAGGGGGTGTGGCTTGGCTGGTTTCCCAGGTGCCCTGATTGGTGGAGGGGCCACATCCTGCTCATGCTGCCCCAGGAAAAGCTCCCTGGGGGTGGGGGGGGCAGGATGGGAGGATGTAGAGTGCCCAAGCCTTCACCCTTCCTCCATCTGGCTCCTCCCGAAGACCCAGCCCTGGTACTGGACGACCTGGGACAGCTATGTGCCCTCCCTGGGCCTTAGTTTCTTCTGGTGTAAACAGCAAAGATTGGCCTGCCCCCACCTTCCTTGACCAACACCCCATCTGGGCCAGGGACACTGGCAGGGGACAGATGGAGTTTGTCTCATCTCCAGGGCAATGGAGGGAAAGTGTCAAGGTGGGTAGGACTGGGGGAGGCAAGAGGAGAGGGGTCAAAGTCCGACATCTGTGGGGAACCACAGTTCTGACAGGAGGGAGAGGGGGGGCGTTTCCAGAACCAGCCAACAGGAGGCATGGTGAGGGCCGGGCTTGCAGGAGCAGGGGCTGTGGGTACCAGGATGCAGATGCGGTCACAAGGTAGCCTGCGGGCCAGGAACAAGTGCCTGCCCCAGCGTCTGTCCTCCTGCCTTCTGGTCTCGGGCTGGCGCCTCTACTGGTCTGGAATATTTGACCCATGAGGCCAGCCTCCTGGCCTTAGAGAAGGACACAGGAAGGCCGGTAGGAGCCCAGAGGGCTTCGGCCAACTGGAGCCAAACCTGGGAAAACTGAGCCTTCCCGCCCTGCAGACTGAGGACCAGGCAGGACTCTCCGAAGTCCTGTCCCACATGGGGTTGCCGGGAGCCAGGATGGTCCCTGAGCCTCCGAGGACAGGGGAGAGTGGGGCACCAAATACCTCCTTTTTGGCCTTCTTGCCTCTTCTTTGAGGACCCCCCTCCCTAGAGCCCTCTTGGGTGAAAACATCTCTCAAACTTCAGGGGTACAAGGTAAAGACTTGGGATCAATGGCCGTGCCTCTCTCCCACCAAAGCAGTTGCCTCTGTGTGGGGAGCTCCCCCCCACCAGGTCCACACCCCACCCCTCACTAATGACACCATACACACACCATCTCTCCCTTCTGACCAGCCATCCCAAAGGCCCCTCACACCCAGCCCCCTGCCCCTTGTCCTCCTGGTTCCCTGGCCCCCTGGCTCCTGAGCACCCTCGCCCTGACTTCCAGGCCTCTCAGGCCTGTCACCCAGGCATCCTGGCCACAAAGCCTAAGTCACCTCTTCAGGGCCTGCCCAGTGGGGAGTCCTGGGAACCTATGGGGAGTCCAGCCCCACAGTGTGAGGGTCTCCCTGTGCTCATTTCCCAGGGATGCCCTATAAATGGCCACCAACTGGGGGACTCAGACCACCCGAACGTTCTAGCAGAGGTCTGAAGGCCAGGAGTCTGCAAGCGGGGCCAGGCTCCCTGGAAAAGCTCTGAGGAACCCTGCCCTTCCTGTTGCAGCGCGTAGTGGCTGCTCCGAGCCTGGGTGGGGCAAAGGCGAGGCCTCTACTCCCATCAAGAGTGGCCGTCTGAGAGGCCTGCTGGGGCCGTTCTACCGTGTCCTACAGGATCGCTGTCAGTCAGAATTGACTGTCGGCAGTGAGTTTGGGAGTGGTTGGCTTGTTTCTGGAGGAACCACGGGAGCCTAGTGCGTTACATGTTGGGTTGCTGACCTCGAGGTCAGTAGATGGAATTCACCAGCGGTTTCATGGGGAAAAGATGAGGCTGAGAGTTCCAGTCTCGGCAACCCACAGGGCAGTTCTACCCTGTCCTCTGAGGTGCTCGAGTCAGTGCCGACTCGACTCGACGGCCGGCCTTCGGTTTGGCGTTTGGGAGCATCCTTTGACTCGTGGCTGCAGACCTGCAGTCGCTGCAGCCCTGCCTTTGCCAGGCCCTGTGCTCTCTCGTTGGGCACAGAGCCGCTCTGGGTTAGAATCGGCTTGATGACAGTGGGTTGTTTTCTGTTCTGTTCTTGCTCAGGCCGTTTTATTGGGGCCTTCCCCACGTGCCGCACAATCCGGTAATTCAACCCTCTCAAGAAGAGCTGGGCGGTCTTTACCACCGTCCACGGTGAAACTTCTTCTTGCCCCCACCCCTGCGCACAGCCTTGTTCAGGCGATGATTTTTTTTTTTCCAGTTTTGGCAAAAGAAATATACACGATCGAACATCTCCAACACAACAGCTTGTACACATATCACGTTGATTATCCTCTTTGAGTTGTGCAACCAGGATCGATAGCCCTCCTCAATGGTCCCACCACTGCTCCAACAAACTCAAGACCCCCAAAGCAGGCTCTTCCTCCTGCACCCATGGGAATCATTGGTCAAGGTTGGTTCCTCTCTTTTTTTTGTTTAGTAGTTTTCTTGATAGAATAGTCACACTTCATAAACGTCCATAGTTCAACCGCTTCTAAAAAGGGGCATGTGCAGCATCACGATTAGCTCTAAGGCTTCCTCTCTCCCCCCATTCTGTTCTCTTGTTCTGTTTCTGTACCCAGGGTGGGTGCTACCTGAGGACCTTAGCTGATGCCTTCCGCAGGGTCCCTCTTTCTGAATACGGCCACCTTCTGAAGGTCTCAGGGGAGAGGAGGACGCAGCTCAGTCCAC